ATTGAAAATGGGAAATCAGGGTATAATGGTTTTCTGAAAAAGTATGTAACGGACAGAAGGAGTCATCGCAGACCCCACAAAGTATATATATTCTTGATCAGCACGACGAGTTGAGTCGATATAGCCTTGTCCGTCTGTCCGTCCGTCCTTCCGTATGAGTGCGTCGATCTCAGAAGTTATAAGAGCTAGAGAGCTGAAATTTGGCATGCATACTCGTGTGTACCATACGCAGTACGAGTTTGCTTTATTTTTTCGATAGCTCATCCGATAACTTTTTATCGAGAATAATCGAATCAATATCAATGCCTATTAAGCCTATTTATGTGTACATTTTGGCTGACGCATATAAATGTCGCAATATGGTCACTATAAATGCCGATTGCCACGCCCCTAGTGGCCGTAGACTCCTTATTTTTGGCCAGTTCTTAGAACGAGCAACAGCTAGCCTAAATGCAAAATTTGAATTCTTACGCTCAAAAAATGTGAAAATTACAGGGTATTTTTCGATATGCCACGCCCCTGAAGATTCGCCGTGCTCCTGGTGGGCGGATATTATATTATATATATGATTATACATACTGTATTCGGAATATACATACATACATACAAATATTAACAGCGAATACTATGTATTTAACGGAGCGAGCACAAAACTGATTACGAGCTCCGCTTGAAGATTAGTTTGAAAGCTGCGTCCAATCGGAGCGGTACGAGTAGGGCCCAGCGATAGCCACACATAAATGTAAATACAATATACATACATACACATGTACGTATATATGAGGGCAATGCGAAGCACGCATTTCGAAATGCGAAATACTGTTTTAGTCAGCGTATTCTTGGCCAGTTTTTGGTGTACATTATGCCTGGCCGAGTACGAGGCTCTCGATCACTTCCATATTGAGGTATCCCGGGCCAATTTGCGCGAGGGCGACTCATACAACGTTACCTGCTGGACGGACAGCTTGGCCGCTCTGAACCAATTGTGCGGCGCCGGCGGAGTCCAGCGATTGTATATGCAGGCGAGCCGCACAAATCTAACGGTGAGCATCCTGAATGACACGACTATTTACCACGAGATGCCATCGGCTCAGCCCATGCACGGTCGAGCGTTTGGCTACGAGTGCCTGTGCAACGGCGCATCGATAGTCTCCACGTTCTTCCCGGTGGGCGTGCGATTGCAGGTGGTGGACTTCAGCTGCCGATTCGAGGACGCCAAATTTCCGGCGCTATTCAACTGCAGCTTCAGCAGGCCGCCGATGAGTGATACGGTGGACGCCACGGCGAACTACACGCTACAGCATGACGGTCGGACTGTCGCCTGCCAGCCGGTTGGGCAAGGCTTACGGATGCAGTGCATCGGCCGGCTGAACAATTTCCAAAAGGCCTTCAATTTCACATTGAGACTGCACGACCAATTGGGTGAGCATTCCCAGCGATTCCAGCTGAGGCGCGAGCAGATGATCGTGCTGGAGCGGCCGGGAGCCGATTTCAATGTGACCAGCCTAAACAGCTCATCGATCTGCCTGGAGTGGAGCGCCAAGCGGTCCACAAACCACATCGGCTACACAATCGTGTGGTCGAAGCTGCTGCTGAACGACAACATCAACAATGCGAGCGTCCTTTGGACAGATGTGAAGCAGGCGACGAACAGGGAGAGCGTCTGCCTCTACCGGCTGCCCCATCCATATCAGAACTATACAATTGAGCTGCAACGTCGCTACAACTATTCCGGCGCCCATTTAAGCCCTAGCTTTGTCTATAGCTTCTACACGCTTCCAGAGCGGCCGGCACGGCCACCCCGAGTCTGGCCAAACGGCTACCACATCGATCCCAGACAGCCGAACGAGCTGCACATCTACTGGCAACCTCTCCCCCAACTGGAGCACAATGGTCCAGGCTTCACCTACAACGTGACCGTACATAGGTCCAGTGATCCGAATCGAATCATGTGAGTCAGCTCTTCAATTGCCTTGAATTATCGCAAGCTCCAGCACTGATCGAGTATCGCTTTACTTCACTTCACTTTACTTATTGATTGATTGTGGACTGCATCTGGATCTAAGTAACTCCCTCTGACGCATCTTCAGACTCTTTAGAGTCTAATCATTCGGGATCGTTCGTTGAAGGTTCATCAATCATCACTGGATTCGGTTCAATTGTGAATAGTCTATTAGTCGGCTAGTCATTAGTCAATCAATCAATCTTTCAAGCAGTCAATCATTTATTCAGTCAGTCAGTCATTCACTCACTCTTTCAATTAGTTAGTCCGTTGGTGAGTCCATCATTCAATCTGTCAGTCCATCATTCAGTATGCCAGTTGTGCAATCTTTCAATCCAATCTTTCTGCCAATCAGTCACTCAATCAATCAATGGATAAGCTTCCAGCTAAGGTTGGCAATGAATTCCCTAGTGCCATAATCGCTATTCGCCATATTCTGTATAACTTATATTTCGTAGAATTTTGAGTTCATCATACTTGAATGGTATTGCCATAATCACTTATGTAAATGGAAATGCGGTCATCGCATTTAAATATATGTACATACATAAACAATTTTCAAGCCCAATGGGAAAATACCCTGAAAATCCTATATTAAATACCTGAGCAGTCTATTATTATGTATGTAGGTATGTATATACATGTATCTGTATGTATATGTGATCTGCGTTTTTATACCCTGAACCCATTTTCAATGGGAAATCAGGGTATAATGGTTTTGTTGAAATGTATGTAACAGGCAGAAGGAGGCGTGGCAGACCCCATAAAGTATATATATTTTTGTTCAAGGCGACGAGCTTTAGCTCTGTCGATTTAGCTCTGTCCGTCTGTCCGTCCGTCCGTCTGTCCGTCTGTCCGT